TAAACAACATAGAGTCAAAACCTTTTAGTCAAAAACCACTATTTTTTCAGTTTATAAAAAAAATTTTAAATCCTAAAACATTCTTTTTTGGATTTTTTTTTAGTTTAACTAGAAAATAAATTACTTAAAAATATGAATCACTTTGAATTTTTTGAGACAATAGAAACACCCGGACTGTACAGTGAAAATAGTTTAAAAATTATCTCTTATAATAAATTAAATTGCAATATAAAATTGTGTTTAATCCCCATAAATCCAAATGAATATGAAGAATAAAGGTATATGTATAACAAAGTGGTTTTTTTTATAATAATATGTTGTTTTATTATTTTAAAAAAATTGTTTTATAAGTGCCCTTTTGAGGGATATGTTTTTCATTATACATCGATTTAAGGTATACAAAAAGTTGTGATCCCTTTCTCGTAATGTTTTTTAAGTCTATGCTTTTGATTTCAGCCGCAACTTTTTGCAACTGTCTTTGTTGTTCGTGTTATTCTACCATTCTACCAGGCATGCAATCTTTACCTTAAAATGTCTATAGCTTAGATGCTTTGACTTTAGACACATATTCCTCAGAATTGAACACTCTACAAAAGTGTCCATTGCGACAAAGTCGAAACTCACACCGGCGAGGTGGCAATAAATCTGATTATTTCACGAAATTCGCATTTTTTTTTATATCTTGTAAATAACAGGAGCTGTAAAAAAATGTACATGGCAAACTTGTATTTGAGCTTTTGTTTTCATTTTATCATTTTCTCACTTATATCAAATATTTGTTTTATACGTACTTTTATTTAGGTACATGATATCGGTGTAAACTTTCTCGCCTATATATAATATTATATTTTTGATTTTTGGTGTTTAGAAAAGTGTGAAGAAATATCACTTACCACCGAAGCAAATTCAATAAAGCTTCAGTATCTAGATTAGAAGCTTCGTTAACAAAAAACGTGATATTCACTTTGTACCCTGCTGTGATAACATTTTAAAGAAAAAACAGTTAACCTGAGCAAATAAAGGTTTCAGAATCTGATGTTGAAGTTGAGATAAAAAAATTATTGGACTACATTGTGTCAATAAATGAACGGAATGAATCCTCTAATTACATATTATCAATAGGAATACGTGAGTTTGATGGCAATTCTGGTCAGACCGAATATGAGCAGAAATTTAAAAATAATAATTTGGAAGACAATAATTTATTTGTCAGGACATATGTCCCTATATAACAGATAATAAAATTGAAAAATAATGAAGAGCGAAAACAAATGTGGAAAAACTGTAAACCTTCGTCCACCCGTTATTACCGTAAATATAGGGAAGCGCGCGCTTTTTATATTACTGATAAATGATAATAACTTGATTTGTATGAAAGTTTTAAATGATAAAAGGTGTGATTTATATATTTTTTTGCTGTAATATACTAAGTTTTTTTATGATACTATGATAATATATCACATATGAAATTATATTAAATTATTAAAGATAAGTAATATTTAATATGCCCATTAACTACAAATATTGCTTTTAGAATTGCATAAATTAAAGATAATGTTATCAATTTTGCATGAATTCACAAGAATTCGCAAAATTATATTCATATGAATTGTTATATTAGCATGTAAACGTATAAAAATATAAGCCAAAAGGCCAACATTCATCTGTAAAAGCAATGTATATTTCTGAGCATAATTTTCATTGAATTCTCAGCTCTCTTCACTCATTTCTGTTAAAGTTTCTCCTGCCGAGCCAAAAGTGGTGAAATCCACTAATAGAAAATTCATAGCTCTTGACAGTTCACACGCTTGTCCGTAGTTGAACCTTCTCTATATTATACGTTCTCTGCGAATGGCCACCGATTGTCGCCGCTTCACTTTGCCGCTGTACAGCTTCGCCATCAAACCAGGGTAAATATGTACATATGTTTATGCGTGAGCTTACATACATATCCACGCAGCTGCGTAAAAATATTTCAGAATTACAAAATATTTTTCACATTCTTTGACAAATACAGTCAATACTGGTTATGTGCCACATTCAAAGATACAGATGTTTGAGGTTTGTAAAAATAAAAATATAATATGGCACATAAACGAGTGCGGATACTTAAGCGAGTGGTACTTAAAACAATAAATAGTATTTCATAAAACAAACCGTGAGATGCAGCAAGATATGGGCAGTTAAGAGGGATGATTTTCATTTAAGCGGAATACCACTTAACCGGGATTCACTGTAGACATAAATCAGAGGAATATTGAATATTTTATTTGGCACATTTCTTGACTTGAAAATCGACAAATAAACTATGTTGTCAATTTTATTCTATACTTATATTTGCGGGGTTGTCGCTTTTTCCTCCTCATACAAATATCAGAAATTGTTCAATTTATGATTTTTAGCTTTTGCCAACGTCGAGAAAAGACGCTTGTTGGCAAAGGCATGCTCGGGGAGATGTCATGGTGTTGGTTTTTATGAATCAAGCAAGTTTGCCTGTTGAAAGGKCGCTTGCGTTCATGAACGAAAATATTGTTGTTGTGTACTTTTCTACAAATTTGGGCATCGACTATTTGGCTGCCATATTGACTTGTGACCCTGCTGATGCCATTTGAGACGTTTCTTGTTTTTTCAGAACAATATTTGTAGTTTTTGCGGGCGACATACATATCTACATGGGAACGCGTATAAGTATGTATGTTGTGTATGCATTATTTGTGTGGGAATGTCATACGCACATATTTACATGTGTACGCATATAAGTATGTTGGTTTGTGTGTGCATTAATTGTCCGGCAATGTCGTACACATATGAATAAGCATGTATGTATGTACATATAGCAGCAGTGCGCGCACACTTTTTACTGATAAATGATAATATCACGATCTGAATTTGAATTGAACTTACATATGTATGTAACTATATGCTGATATGTAGATGAGTATGAAAATAGAAATGAAATGCGATTTAAATATAATATTATTGTAATATATTATAAGTTGTTTAGGATATTATGATAGTATGTCATATACGTATATATGTACATATATCGAATATCTACGTACTCATATGTAAATTTATAATATATTATCAAACATATGAAATATTTATAAAGTAGCTCTTATTTGTACATTAACTACAAATGTTACTTTGAAAATGGCATAATTTAATGATGAAGTTATCAATTTTGCATGCATTCACAAAAAGTCGCAAAATGATATTCAAAATCAATTAATATTATTGCATGTATGTAAACGTATAGAATTATATGTAAAAGGCTAACATACGTCTGCAATAGAAATGTATATTTCTGAGCATAATTTTCAATGAATGCTCAGCTCTGTTCACGCTCCACTGTTAAGATTTCTCCTTCTTAGCTAGCTGTGGTGAAACGCACTCATCGCATTTTCTTAGCTTTTGACAGTTTACACGCCTGTCCGTTGTTGGACCTTCTCTATAAATATACGTTCTCTGCCTCTATATTATACGTTCTCTGCTCATGCAAGATTGCACGATGACACAAAATGCAAAAATTCTGCAATTCGTGCACCGTGCAAAGGGGTTTGCAAGCCAATAGGGGTATTCGCTTGCTCTTACAAGATTGCAGATTGCAAAAATACTATACCGAAATATACAAGGGCACGAGAGCACCCGATGCAGAATCTAGTGATATATGAATGGCTGATTCGATCAATTTATTGTGAATGACTGTAATGCATGACTGTTGTGAAGTGGCACACCTTCTGCATACATTTGTAACAAAAAACTGTAACAAATCTTTATAATTTAAATAGAAATTATAAAATCTATTTAAAACTAACCTTCTTCAAAAATTTAACGACATAATACGTCTTTATGTAAAATGACAGCTGAAACAGGGTTGCAATTATAATTTTGCGTGACAGTGTAAGCAAATATAAATGGGTTTTGGTCTGACATATTTGACGGCCATTGCGAATAATTTTCTGTGTGTGTTTGTTGTTGTGCCGATGCACCAAGAGGAAATATATGAAATTCTTGCACCGTGAAAAGGTTTTGCAAGAGGGTTTTGAAGAGAATACGCCTTATATCTTATGACAGCTGTATTTGTATATGGAATGTAAACAAATATCAAGGACAATTTAGGGCCGTCAAAATATGTCTTCCAATAAAATCGAATAAACTAGAGCAGGCACCGATTATAATGAGTGGAATATAAGTTTTCAAGTAGTTTTAATACTATGTTCGGACCGACATTGAAAACATTTTGAAAACACATTTGTATGTTGTGTCGTTCGGACCCACAATGTGTGTTTTCGATGAGTTTTCACTGACAACTATTAAAAGCGGTCTTCTCTTACTCTTGCAAGATTGCACGATGACACAAAATGCAAAAATCCTTTACCGAAATATGCAAAGCCAAGAGAGCACCCATTGCGGAATCTAGTGATATATGATGGCAGGAAAATAAACATGGGTTTTGGTCTGACATATTTTACAGCCATTGCAATCAATTTTCTGCGTGTGTTTGTTGTTATGCCGTTGCACCAAAGGGAAAATTCTGCAATTTCTGCACGGTGCAAGGTTTTGCAAGAGCAAGAGAATCGCCCTCATATGAGAATATCAAGCGACAGCTGTATTTGTATGTGGAATGTAAATAAATATCAAGTGACAATTTAGGGCCGGCAAAACATGTCTTCCAAAAACATCGATTAAACTAGAGCAGGCACCGGTTATACTGTAAGTTGTATATAATGTAAGTTTTCAATTAGTTTTCAGCGAAAACTGTTTTTTCGTTTGGCAGATTTTACATGGACAAAGTTTTCGTGCGAAAACCAGTTTTTGCCATGAAAACATGTTTTCGTTGTCGGTCCGAACAGGGTATTAGGGCGAAAATCAGTTTTTCTTACGAAAACATGTTTTCATTGTCGGTCCGAACATAGTATTAATCATATACAAATTATACTTATGCATGTATGTACGTATACTTATTAAAGTAAAATTTTAATGTTTGTCTTTTTTAGAGCAACTGTAAGAGAACTAATTGAAACGGAAGAAGAATTTTCTAGAGACCTACAAAATATTGTTGATCGTTATATCAAGGCCGTTGACAAAATTGGTGCTCCTCGAATTGTTCGCGATAGCAAGGACATAATTTTTTCAAATTTTGAACAGATTGCTGAATTTCATAATATGTAAGAATGAAAATTAAAGACCATAAATTACGGTTTTAAATATGGTTCATATTTTCAAGGATTTTAATTGAAGGACTTAAATATTACTCAGAACAACCTAATATGACAGCTAAAACATTTCTTAGACTTGAAAGAGATTTTGACAAACACGTGAAATATTGTGCAGCCGAGCCCTTAGCACAGGCTTTCCTTAAGGAGAATAAAGAAGCCAACGAATATTTTCAGGTAAATTTTGTACAGCAATGCACGATTTGAAGATATATATTATTATTAATAACAAAATATCCAAGTTAATTCCTGTTGTCAAAGCCAAATGACAGACAAATTTCATTGAGCAGGCACCGGCAGCAGAGTTTAAATAAAATATCTAAAATATTACTAAAATACAATATAGTCTTACCGTGCGATTTAGTGCTGTGATACAGTCACAAGCCTCTAAATTTGAAATTTTAAGTTAGATACCATTTTTGTCACTTGGGACGATTTTGATACTCTCTAAGTTATAGTCACAAAATCTATTACATTTCATTACATTATTCAGATAAGTTTTTACACTTGAATGAAAATAAATATGTCGATAACAACTTGACTTTATTTATAATATTTACGAAATTTATGGAAAATTTATTTATTTTTAACCTTTTCGTGTTTGAGTTGCTAAAAAACAGCAATCGATAAATATCTATGATGATTTCTATTCAGTATATTCAAAATGTCAAACAAGAGTTATTTTTAGTTTTGTGAGTTGCTAACTATCAGGTAACAAATTTTAGTCAATATTTTGAGACTAACGCTAGAGACTGTTTAGTGAATAGTAACTAGGCACAAATTGACCTCAAAATATGTCAAATAGTGACTAGAGACTGCTTACAGAAACGCGCTGTTAGTAATATATATAAAACAGGGTATCTTTCTTTGCATTTCTTCTACTGCTACTACCCTACTGATATAGCATATCTAACTTCTACTCTACCGTATATTACCTTTATGTAATGATAAAGGTAAAAATAATACAAGTTTTCATAATATTTTTACATAACTTCTAACAGTTGCTTTATATTTTCTTTCCGTGGAAGATTTTTATTGTGATTTTGAACTAAATAAATTCCATTTCAATTTTTAAATCAAATTGTTAATTTATAAATAAATCCGTTTGGCGTACATTTGAAACCCATTGCATGAGGATCTTCGAAAAAAAATCTTGAAACACCGATGGAGCTGGGCCATCGAACTAGTCTCTCAGTTTTTGAGATATCTATCTTAAATTTTGCGAAATAAAGCGCAATCCTCCACAACATATTTCTATTTCCAAACGATAATTTTTTTCCTAATCAGGCATAGAGCTCATATTTATTATTAAGATGGCGTCAGTTTGTGTAAACCTATAAGAATATGCAAATGTATAAAATAAAAAATCGAAGTTTCTTCACAGTGTTTAGAATCGATTCTAATGTTCATTGTCATTCTTGAAAACTGCTCATGTATTCATTCGCACACTCATGTTCAACTCAATACTAAGTCAGTATAGCATAATCGTCACACTCGTTCGACTAGATTACATGAAAAATAATTTCTGACACAATGAAAATACGTATTATTTGGTCACCACTTCTCTAAATAGGCATGGTTTCTAATGGGTTAAATAACGTAATATTTATCTTGACCTTTAGTTGAAACAATCATGTATATCTTACATTTTTTATTGTTTTCGCACCAAATGCAACTCTTATGGCTTTATTCTGCAAGTCTTCAGCACACAGGGTGTGTTCGGAAAGTAACAGGACTGATATTCTTCCGCCGAAACAAGCAACCGGTCAGTTGTCAGAGCACCTTGAGAGTCAGAGCAAACATTTTCGGGCGATGTATTTCTGTGAGTGGTGCAGCGTTCTTTAATGCAGAGGTACGCGATTAAATTCTGTGTGAAAGACGTTTGATATGATTGTTCATAGCATACTTACCCAGAGGTTGCTTTAGCCTTTTTGGAGGGCCGGGAACAGTTCGCTGAAGAAGACCGTTGCTGAGAGCTAATCCAAAGTGAAAACGATGCTCATTGTCTTTTTTGACATCAAAGGCATCGTCTATCATGAATTTGTCCCTCCTGGACAAATCGTCAACGAAAAATTTTATATGAAAGTCCTCAAGAGACCTCAATTTTGCCCGACATGACGCGAAGCCGCTCACACCGCCTTTCTTGTGAACAGCTACATACCCAAGACCGACCAAACAACTCTTCCGCAGCCCGCTCTACTGTTCAGATGTGGTCCCAGGAACTTGTTTATTATCTTGCTGGAAAGGGCCAATGGAAGGGAAAGCATTTGTAGACGACAGAGATCCCCTCTGGCAAGTACCTATGCTCACAAGACTATTCCGGAGAATGTCCTCCGTGACGACTCCAATGCTTGGAAATCGCGCTTCATCGACGGAGAAGGAGTCAAATTTGTTAAAGTATTGTAACTATTGGTTGAATATATTTTTTAAATCAACTCAGTCCTATCTACTAACCTACTTTCCGGATAAATCCTGAAATTTTTATTTACACACATTTTAGTGCTCAAAAGCATTTACATAATACAATTTTTTTCAAATTTCATAATTTATTGGATCTGCTTGGTAAAGCATAATACTAAATATTCAAATCTTAAATTTATTTAAAACTAAAGAAGCTCAAGAATGTGGTTCTTTATAAACGCGTTTGATTGCAGCAAATTGCCGTTAGCTAATGGGTTTAGATGTTCGCGAGGTTTAGAAATATATCTCATACTGCTTTCCTCTATCTCCTTCTCCTTGTTTTATGATTGCGTTGTATAACAGGACTTTGTTGTCTAGGCTAAGTTTAGAAATTTTTAAAAGCCGATTAAAATTTGCTGCTCTTAACTTCATGCAAGTTATTTTACTCGCTATATGTTGTCGCCACGTGAGTCCCAAGATAAGTTACTTCATTAGATTATTTTAACTATCCGACACGTTTCTGGTCTTAGCAAGAATTTAACATGCCTGAATTTTTGGTCATTAACCCTTCTGTTATGTTAATAAAAATTTGCACATGTGATGTTAAGGTCAGGGAATGACCTAGTCGACATTCCTGACATTCCAGCCGACAACTGATTTTAGGTTCAGATTTCCTACGAGTTATTTCACCCTAACAAGGTATAGGCCAAGTTTTTCGAGGAAATCTTGCGCTTATATATTTTTGACGAATTCCAATTAGAGTGAATTTTTGTCCACAAACCTAGGCATTTAGCGCCGAAACATCCATAATATTCGAGAAGACAGCTAAGGGCCAACTATTAGTTTGTCTCTTGCACGTATATGTTTCCACTAATTGGTCAATTGTGTCTTTTTACAAGTATACTTGATAGGTATGTATAGAACAATGATGATATCCATCAAAAAAGAAACGACTGTTTAGTATCAACCGTTACGTTTTCATAGGGAACAAGCAGTAGCATTTCTAAACGGTAGCTTTTCTCGTAAAAATGCCGGATTGAAACAAGTTTATCATATACTCTCGCTCAGCGATTATCTCTGTTAACGAACCTCAGCACACAAGTTACTTCCATAAACCTTGTAAGTCACATTACAGCGCAAAATATTAGTCGACCGATAAACGCCTGTTTCTAAATTATATGTATTTCAGTATTTGTATATTGTATAAATACGCCATTTGAATTACCTCTGAATATCAAAATACCCAAAAATCCATTAAATTCTATTTCATGAATTGGTTTATATTTCTCTCCAATTTTTCAGCGCCCTCAATGTTTGTGAACTCTAACACAGGTCAAATGTTTCTTTTATATTTGATATTCCCAATATCAATATTCAATATTCAGTATATTGAACTGAATATACTGTAACAGCCGGTTACTAACCGGGGTGTCGTCGAATTATATTTTCTGCGATTGGTAGCTGTGGGTGAAAAGTACACGGGAATGCTATTTTGATCAGCTTCAGCAATACTGTCTTCTTGTTCACTAGCCATGTACCATACTTTTCAGAAGATTCACCATCTGGCAAACTATACTTATCAATATACACAATGTCTTCCATTATTGTCTGTATTTAGGTTGCTGTCAGACGACAAATTTGCTGAACCAGATAATACTACATCGAAATCAATCAAAGTACTCACCGATGCAGAAATTAATTAGCAATATAAAAACTGCTAACTTCTGATGCTATAAACGCAAAGGAAACGACAGACTTCAAGCGACATCTGTCAAAAAATTGCAAAAATCAGTCATTTTTGGGCCTTCTCAAATTTTGTAAATTCAGCTAAATGTACGAAATTCTTGTTCATTGCAAACTTGCATTAACATTGGTCAAATGCGCAAATATATGTAAATTAAGCCCGCTAATGCGTATTAGCGCTGTCGTCTGTCAGGGAGAAAAGTGATGCTAATTTGAATGTACGCTTACAGATTCGCATATTTACAATGCGCAAACGGCTATGGATATGATTTATACAATATATATTCTCTATATACATATGTATGTACATATTTGATATCAAAGTACGGAAATATGTATAAAGTGCAATTTGGCCTATGTATGTACATACATATGTATGTATGTATATTATGATGAATTCTGCAAAATCTGTTAAGTGTATAATCAGAGAATGTTGGTAGATATTATTGCGTATATATTAAATCAATATATAAGATTGTTAAGTTATACATTTATATGCTTGTACATATGTATGTATTTATTTGCTTTGGGCATTAGAAGTTTTGATAATATCTTAAAAGATAGGTTCACATATGCTTGTAATTATGTGTACATGTATGTACATAAAAATATCAAAAAGTTACTGCTTCACCTGCCGATGTAACAGTTTCGCCTACAAACCAACTTAAATACGTATGTTTGTATGTGAACGATATGTAGCGACGCAGGTGCGTAAAAATATTTCAAAATTAAAAAAATATTTTTTACATTCCTTTACAAATGCAGTCAATCCTTTATCAAAGATACAGATATTTGTAGTTAGCCAAAACTAAAAATATAATATGGTACATAAGCGTCTGCGGATACTTAAATGGGTCGTACTCAAAACAATAATTTCTATTTATTTCAAAAAACAAATCGTGAGATGCAGCAAGATATAATATAGGCTGTTAAAAGTGATGAGTGAGGGAGTTGAGGGATTTGATAGGCGGAGTACTACTTAACCGGGATTGACTGTACACAAAAATCTGAAGAATATTGAATATTTTCTTTGA